GGTGGTGAGGCTGGAGAGGGGCTCACACACACGTGCTGCAGGGAGGTGCTGCAGGGACAGTGAGCCCCCCACATCCCCCCATGGCTGGTCCCACCACCACAGCCCCGGCTCATGTGGCGCTGGGATCAGGAGCCACCTGTGTGCAGAGCCACGGGACAGCAGAGGGGGCTCAGGGCCCCCTGCTAACCCCAAAACCCACAGCCACGTGTGTACGTGCGGCTCAGCTGTGGCTCAGCTGCTGACAAAAAGTCAGAGTGGTTTGGGTTGGAAGGGTCCTTAAAGCCCATCCGGTTCCATCCCCTGCCATGGACACCTTCCACCAGCCCAGGCTTCCCCGAGCCCCGTCCCTGTCCTCGGACAGTCCCAAATGCACTTCCAACACGCTCAGGTCCCGATGCTGGAGCCCGTGGGGATGTGCCCAGCCCCAGGCCCGTGTCCCACCAGGCTGGGCTGCACCCACCTGCTCGTTCTCACAGAAGTATCCATCCAGCTTGTGGAGGTTGGGGGGACACTGTGGGGACACGGAGAAGAGGCTGGGTGATGCCACAAGGCCCCACAACACGTCCCACCTGTCCCCCCGGCCCCACTCACCTGGCTGGAGTCCCCGGTGCAGGTCTCAGGGATGTCACACTCGTTCACAGCCTCCCGGCAGGACACGCCACGTGGCTCGTACTGCCCGGGGCACAAATCCAACTCATCAGGAATGGGACAGGACTCCACCGGGTCCACATCTGGGCCCTGGCCCCCCCGAGCCCCTCTGGATGCTCCCAGCCCCGCACCTTGCAGCCCTTGCAGCAGAGCCCATCGCTGCACATGGCGTCGTGGGTCAGGGTGCACTTCTTGCAGCAGTTTCCCCCGCTCCTCGCACACTCCTGCGGGGACAGCAGCCGGAATCCAGGCCATCAGCCCCCTGGCAGCCCTGGCAGCCCCCCAGAGCGGGGGGAGCAGCCCCCTGACCCTTCTCACCGCCAGCGAGCCGCAGTCACACTCCTCTCCTGCCTCCACGAAGCCATTGCCGCACTCCGGAGGGTCCAGGAGCTGCCGGGACCGAGGTGGGACATGAGACAAACACACGAGAGCTGCTGGGGACCCCTGAGCCAGCTGCTGCCATGAGCCCCCCGAAAGGGCATCACATCCCCGGGGAATGGCAGCACCCCCGAACTGCAGCCGGGCACGAGGCTCCTCCCGCTCTGCGAGTTCAGCACCAGCGCCTTGGCCGTGGCTGGGGACACCACGAGTGCCGAGGGACCCCAGAAGCCACCCCCAGAGCATCGCTCCCCACTGTGACCCCCCGAGGGGCCGGGGGTCGCTACCTTCAGGGGTTTGTTGAAGAGGCAGCTGCCGCCGCCGTCCTGCAGGAACTGGTTGTACTCATCGATGCTGCAGCGAGAGAACTTCCGCGGGAGGTAATACCTGTGGGATGGGGGTCACCGTCACAGTGTCACAGCGTCACACCCTGCCCTCGCCCGGGGACACTGCAGCGGT